AGGGAGCGAGGTCCAGCAGCAAGTCACTCCCGGCAAGAGCGCAGCCCGCCCCATCCAGTCACAGCCCCTGAGACAGCAAAACCCCTTGCTTGCTGCTGCTGGAGATGCCAGGGACTGTCCAAGAGACAGCCAGGTGCCACTCTGACTGCGCTTTCACCTCCCTCAGTGCCAAAGCAGTGGCTGCCCTAAAAAGCCGTCGCTCACCTGTTGTGCCAGAGCAGCTGCCAGGAGCTGAATTGCCTCTGCTTTGGCCCTGGCCTTCACCAGCATGGCGTTGGCTTCTCCTGCAATGAGCCACAGAGCAGTGTCCATCAGAACCACGACAAAGCATTTGCAAGGAGTGAATCGAGACAATTTCACACACACAAACCCTCCTCTTCCCCAGCAGCAGCCAGGTGACACTCCTGCACACACCTCTGCCACCCCAGGCTGCAGAGCGGCAGCAGAAGCTGGAGCTCAGCCCCAGGGCCCCAGCCAGGAAGGACAGCATGGCTGAGGAAGCCTGACCCACAGAGAGCGATAAGGCCTCTCCCTGGGAGCATCACCCCCAAGTGCAGAGAGCTCCAGATTCCCCAGGCCCCTCATGTTCCAGCCCCAGGCACTACCAGCAGCTTTGTTGATCTGTTCGGCCTTCTCAGCTTCCGATGCCAGGATCTGGGCCTGCTTCTGCCCCTCAGCCACATTGATAGCCGATTCTCGTGTCCCCTCTGACTCCAGCACAGTTGCTCGCTTCCGTCGCTCTGCCTCTACCTGCAAATGTAGGTCAGAGACTGCCACAGCTGCACTGGGCAAAACCCATCTGTGGGGCAAGCGCAGTGAGGACATGCTCCTACATCCCGCTTGGGCAAGCACCAACTAACAGAAAGAAGATGAGAGCACAGCTACAAAACACTGTGCGATCCTGGTGAGGGCTGGTTCTGCTCCCAAAGCTGCATAGCCCTGTGCAGACCCATCCACCCCTAACCCAACAGCTGCTTGCCCCTCCTGCCATTCCAGCCTGGAGATCTGGCACCTGACTTTTCTCAAGGGGAGACCTTCAGCTCTGTGATTTGCAGGCAGGCCTTGCATGCACCACTGCCAAAATAAGTACAGGAATTATTTATTCAATAGCTGAAGTGCCTCTGGAGGGGCCAGTGCTGCCAGCCGTGAATGGAGAACCACGCGGTGTGGAAGGGAAGACTTCCTTCTTGTTCCAGACCGTCCTGCCAGCGAAGCAAACCTGCATCTGCATGGATTCCTTCACACGCGGGGGCACGTGAATGTCCTTGATCTCATAGCGCAGGCACCGGATGCCCCAGCAGTCTGAAGCCTGGTTGATGGCATCCACAATGTTGGCGTTGAGGGACTCCCGCTCCTAGAAGGCACAAAAGAAACAGCAGAGAGCAAAGAAGGGGCACTTAGCATGAGATAAGGGTCAGGAGGGAAACTGGCAACCCCTTCACGGGCCGAGGTCAGCCAGAAAAATCCATTTCCACAGGCGGAAGGCAGGGCCAAATGCTCCCTGGATCTCTTGAAGGGGTAACCTTCTCCTAGGGAGAGCAGGGCCCCAAATTGCTGAGATACAAACATCTGCTGCACATCTGGGTGCAGACATCCAGGAATGCAACAGCCCCTGCTTCT